ATTTTAATGTTAACATGACATAAAGAAGGCTAAGCGCAAGATAAAAATAACATGGAATCCTAGGCTGCATAAATAGGTGTGTATTTGTCACAAATTTTAAAAAATTGAGTTTCAACTAGCAGAATAATTGTGTTAGAAAAAATAAACAGTGGAGATATTTAAACAGCCATTTGATATTATCCTCAGGTTGGAATTATTTGTTCCCTAGTGTCTTCAGCTACTTCTTTTTGCAAGAGATATTATTTAATATGAACATTCTAATTTCGTTAGAGAATGCTTTTTGCAGGAAATTAAAACAAGTTTAAAATTTATTTAGATGTTATAGGCAATTTCCTTTTACCTAATATATTTCAATAGACTTAAACTGGAACAAATACCCATTGTGACAGTTAATTTTATGTCAACTTGGATGGCCCATGGTGCCCAGATATGTGATCAAACATTATTCTGAGTTTCCCCGAGGGTGTTTTTGGATGAGATTAGCATTTAAATAAGTAGATTTTAAGTAAAGCAAATTGTTCTCTCTAGTATAAGGGGGCTCATCCAATCAGCTAAAGTCCTAGACAGAACAAAAGACTGACCTCCCCCAGCAAGAGGGAATTCTGCAGCAGATAACCCTTGGACTTGAATTGCAGTGTAGTCTCTTCTTTGGGTCTCCAGCCAAATGGCCTTCAGACGTGAACTCAACATCAGCTCTTCCCTTCCCTGGGTCTCCAGCCTGCCAGCCCGTCCTGCAAATTTGGGCTTGCCTCCATAATCATGTGAGGCAATTCTTGAAAATAAATCTTTCTATAGATACACACCCTATTGGTTCTATTTCTCCAGAGAATCCAAATTCACCCATTTATAGAATATATATATGAAATTAAGTTATAAATTAATCTATAATCACTTAAATGAAAAAACGTCTTTCTTTGGAAATTTAAGTATATACCTTTTTAATATATATGTACAGATGCTTGTTGACTCACAATGGGGTTCTGTTCCAATAAATCCATTATAAATTGAAAATACCATAAATTGAAAGCGTATTTAATACCCTTAACCTACCGAACATCACGGCTTAGCCCAGCCTACCTTAAATGTGCCCAGAATACTTACATTAGCCTACGGTTGGCCAAAATCATCTAACACAAAGCTTATTTTATAATAAAGTGTTGAATATCTTATGTAATTTATCAACTAGTGCACTGAAAGAAAAAAATAGAATGGTCTTACGGGTGTTGGAAGTACGGTTTCTACTGAATGCGTAGTGCTTTTGCACCATCGTAAAGTTGAAAAATAATGAAGCCAAACCATCGTTAAGTCAGGAACCATCTGCATATATACATCTAATAATATACATAAATTATATATAAAATATATAAAATTATATGTATCTGAGAATTAAGAATCCCTGAAGTTTCTTTGTCGTCTTCTTTATTCCCCTTTAATAACATCCTATTATTGACACTGAGTAAGAAAATAGAAAGGGGAGAAAGTATTGCAGTTTAGTTTTATTTTAAATTTTTAAAATTAGTTATTTCGTATGCTTGAAACATAAAATTTAAATCATGTCCATAAATACAGAGATAAACATAGGTACCCTGACGAAATCCTGAAACAATATATATTTTTAAACCGAGTTTCCCATTTTTACGGCATAGTGAAAAACTAAGTTCATAAAAAAAGTAGTAGGAAAATATAATAGTTACTGATTTTAACATTCTCTTCTCAAACATATGGAACTGAAGGTAGGTTACTCAAATGTTTACATCACTTAAAAAAATTCATATACAATGCAGCAAATATATATTAATTACAGCATTTTCTTTCAGTGCATAGTTTATTCACTGCAATAGAAGCTCCAGGAAGGGTCATCACCTAAGGAACTCTCCAGGTTAGAATCACAATCAAATTTTAAACATGTGGTGAAAGGAATATAAAAATGCCAGGTCCTGGCACAATGAACACATATAAATAACCCAGAAGGAGGCATATGTCACATAAAGATGATCTTAATTAAGCACCACAGTGACCTTTTGGGCAAGTGGTACCATACTCTTATTAAAGTCTTTACTGTTGAGGGCACTGGGTCTCTGGAGTTGATTTGGAAGAGACGTATAGAATTGGGTGTGATTTCTTACAAAGTTCCTGTTCCAATTTGCTTGCAGTTTCTTTCCCTTCTTTAACTTCTGTTTGACGCTTTGATTCAGCAGCTAACCTACAGGCATTAAAGCATCCACTCTGAATTCAAATGTGATTAAGAAAAAGTAAAGAAACAAACCCCTAGTTTAATAGGCCTCCAATGAGGCATGGTGATATGTTTTTATGTATGCAAGGAAAAAATTATAGTTTAATACCATGAAAAATAGTAAGTCACTCTCCAAAAGAAATTTTACTATCAGTAGGCTCAATATTTCAAAAGTATAAAGAATATCTTTAAGGCCGGTAAAAGGTCAAAGGCCAGTCAACTCCTGTAATCCCAGCACTTTGGGAGGCTGAGGTGGGAGGAACGCTTGAGGTCAGGAGTTCAAAACCAGCCTGGGCAACATAGTATGATCCTGTCTCTAAAAAAAATTAAAAAATTAGCTGGGTGTGATGGTGCATGCCAGGCTGAGGTGGGAGAATTGCCTGAGCCCAAGAGTTTGAAGCTGCAGTGAGCAGTGATCACACCACCGCACTCCAGCCTGGGTGACAGAGCAAGATCCTATCTCTAAAAAACAAAAGAATTAAAACATGATAGGGTGCCTACCATGATAAATACACCTAACACAAAAATTAAAATGCTAAGGCAATATTTTAATGTTAACATGACATAAAGAAGGCTAAGCGCAAGATAAAAATAACATGGAATCCTAGGCTGCATAAATAGGTGTGTATTTGTCACAAATTTTAAAAAATTGAGTTTCAACTAGCAGAATAATTGTGTTAGAAAAAATAAACAGTGGAGATATTTAAACAGCACTGTAAAGATTCTTTGTAACAAATGCATCAATTAAATTTAGAAAGTATGCAATAGTCAAGTTCCCAATAAAACCCATATTTATTATTCCAAAATTATCTTAGGATTGTGTGTCTAAGTTAGGCACACAGGAAACAAAAGGTTTGAAACCTCTTAAGTTAGCAGATGGATTCACACACACAAGAACAAATGTTTTGTGGTATTTTATTTGTTTTTGCTTAACTAGCAAGACAAAAATTTTCCAACGTGCTACTTGAGTCAAACAATAGCTACATACATTGCTTAAGTAATTTTTATCAAGCAAAAAGAGGCAGAAAAAGAAATGAAGACCATACAGATAGCAAGGTTGGCACTAATCAATTTTGGAAATCAACTGCAGAAACATACACTGGTATAGCACACTCACACGATGAATCACATATAAACAGGCATAACCCACTGAATTCATTTCGAACTATTTAGAACTATGTGTATGTGGCAGATATCATTCATTTGCAGTTACTCTTCCTTAACAATACCATGCTTTAATTTTCTGTAACTTACAGGTTGTAACATTATATAAAAATTTGAGGAGGAGAGTAATAAATTACTCTTCCTTATAATAATAATAGCAGCTAAACATCATTGAAGTGCTTTCTTTGTTGAATACCACGTTTAGTATCACTGAAGACTTGAAGAGAAATCAGATAAAACATAAGGAAGCCCATTTACATAAGGTGGGCTGTATCATACTCTTTCTACTCAAATGCACATTAGTAAAATGTCTTATTTTGTACTCCTCTTAGACTAACGTAGCCCTTAGTAGCACCTTAAAGATACCATTTCATAGGAGACAATCCAAGCCAACTACCATCGCAGCACTATCCTTACTTTTTTAAATACTGAAAGACATTTATTATAAATGCATCTATCATCCCATTGCATGCAGACATCCTACATCTTTCATCTTTCATCTTTCTTTTACTTTCTCCATTTTCCTCATACACTTCTTTTCCTACCCCACTCTTGGTCCTGCTGTGCACATTCACAACTCTAGCCTCAGCCACTGTTACCTACCTTCCCCTTCTACTCACTTTCTCTTACCTTCTGACCACCATTATTTTTATTTTTTTAAAGGACAAGTCCCTTGGAACATTAATTCCTTAAGGCACACATGTCTGACACTTCTTTTAGTCAAAAACTCAATTATGCAGAAACTGGAGGCTTTCAAGCTTTGGAAACAATGAAAATGAATTAGCTTTGACATTTTAAAAATGTCAAAATATGTCTCAAAGAACATCCTTGAAGGCTTAGGATAAACAATTTCAAAAGCCATAAAAATTTCACCTAAGTTTTCTAGAGGGCTGCAATTTCTTAGACTACTGTAAAACTACCTTTAAGAAGGTAAGTTAATTTTTCTTTCATGGCCACTCTTGAACCAAGAGAAAAATAACAGTACATTTATTCAAACTGACAAAACATTCAGAGATGTGTTAGACTGCGGTATTTGTTTCATAACACAGAAATGTGTAGCTTTTAAAATGATGCCTTTATTCAAGAGTCCTTTTCCCTTGCAATCATTTTAGTCTTTCTTAAAGGTCTGGAAAAGTTAAAGGTAGGCAGATGAAACTGGGGGATGACACTGCATGCAACACTAAGAAAATAGACAAAGAAATAGATAGCGCAGTTCATGCAGCTAGAGAGGAGAGAGGGAGAGTTCTGCTGGTTGCCTTGCAGAAAAGAGGACACTGACCTGGGAGAGTTGGGGGTGTTTCCACTTCTTTCATTTAAGGCTTCGGAGTCAGCTGGAACTCCTATGAGTTTCACACATTTCTTTTCCTTCTTCAGTGGCGTATCCATGGGCAGATTTTTGTGAGGAGAGAGATTGACTAGTGGTGTGTTTATAGAAATCGATTTTTCTAACTGCAAGTTGTTATTTTCTAAACTGTTAGGACAGGACGGTGTCTCCTCTTTCTGAAGTGGTAATCTATCAACTTCTCCAATAGCACTGTTGCTGGCACATGCATCTTTAGAGGTGGTTATATCCACAGGCAGCACCTCACGCCTCTTTTTGAGTACAGGTACTTCAACTGTCTCTGAGAATAAAAACCATTGAAAAAGATCCAGTCAGTGAAAGAAAACGAAGACACAATCAACATAAGAAAGCAGAACTAGTTATTTATACACTTCTTTACATTTTTTCCATTCTTTTAAAATCCACTCATCTCCTTCCTGAAATGTATTATTTCTATTTTTTATTCTTTATTATCACGGATTCTATAAACCACATCTTTTAAAGTTTATTTATAAATTTTTGCTTGGGAATCTATATTTGGCTCTGGGAATAAACACTTAAATATTCTCCTCTGGTGTTTGGATAAAGGGGGTGGGAGTTCATTAAAATCTCAGTGTTGAGATGAGACTCCAAAGGCAAAGAGTCCAGGTTCAAATTCTAGTACTACTACTTAGCAGCTGGGTGAGCAGGAGGAATTATTCATATTTAATCTCTCTGAGCTTCATTTTCTTTATCTGTTAAATGGGGATTAAAAGCACCCAGTTCACTCAGCATTGTGTGCTGTAAGGATTAAATGATAGGAACAGGTCAAACTCTCTGCATATTGGTAATTTACGTCTATTATTTGCACTTACAAAATACCTTCAGAATCTGACTACTTTTACAATGAATACCTCTCTAGGCCAACCATACTATGTCTCATCAGAGACTACCGCAATGGCCGTCTACCTTCCTGATCTAACGTCATTCTGTCCCCTGTGCAGGTCATATTCACAGTCACTGAATTAACTGCTCTAATATCTTTTCCCCACCCCCATATCAATGTGTTTCATTTCAGGCTGGTGTTCTTGCTCTACACTGTTGCTTTTGGATCATCATTTCCCCTTTCTCTTAAACCCACATCATACAGACTCACAACCCTGCCTCCTATCTCTTTGCCATGTTTAGTTAACAGACCTTTGAAATTCATAATGGGTGATTCTAATCACCATAGTCTATTAGAATTAGGCAAGAGAAAAAGAATGAGAGACAGAAAAGCCTTTTAACACTGTATAAAAGCCTTCCTATTTCTGACAACCTCCCCAATATTGTTGAGTAATCACTATGGTTCACTGAGACAATAATGAAGACAGAGTTGGGCATGAGAAGTGTACAGGGGCAAACACTGGTTGAGAATCCTTAACCTAAAACATGTACCAACACATTTTGAGAAGGTGTTTCAGAATCATCACATTCTCAGACTTCTTTCATTTGGCCTTTTATTTTTTAATTTACATACAGTAAAATTTACTCTTTGTAGTATATAGCATGCAGAGATTGTATAGTTAGGCTATTTTCTATGTCAGTGATTAGACTTGTTACATTGTTTCCTCATATCTATCTTATTTTTCCTTAATAAAAGAATCATTGTTTAGTTGGGAACATGGCCTCTGAGAATCAAGACTGTATTCCCCAGCCTTTCCTGTAGGCAGGTAAGGCCGCATGACTAAATTCTGCTCAATGGGAAGATAGCAGACCAACAATACATAAGAAGCCTGAATCCTGACACTGGAGTGATTCACCAGTCCTGGAATGCCTCCTCCGGGCCTTCATTGGGGGAGGAATAAACATCTACCTTGTTGATTTCCCCATTATTTCAGGTTTTCTATCAACAGTCCTAACTAGTATAGCTCCCAAACATTAGCTGCTTCAACAAAATTAAGCTCTTTGGTATGACATAAGATACTGCAATCTTAAATGGAAAAGTCTCAAATGTCAAGTTTCTATGATGAATTTAGATATCCAAAAAGTATATTACATTCATGCATACCCAGTAACCAGTTCTCTTTGAATTTTTCTACCCCTTTTACAGCAGTAAATTTGCTTTATTAAGTATAAATCCATAACCACGAATGAGTTTGTAATGGCATTTGTATAAAACTATAGTAAGAAAAAAATCTGATATAATTTCTCAGAATTATTCATGATTTAAAAGACAAAAATATGTGAGAAATACACACCTTCAGGTTCATATTTCAGTTTTAATTCATCTAGTTTAGCTCTCAGTTTCATATTTTCGCTTTCTGAAAGCTGGAGGCATCTTTCATTTTCAAAAAGTTTTCGTTCAATATCCAGAGCCCGTTGGCTCTCAAATAATGCCTTCATTCGCTGTATGGACAATTCACCTTTAGTGCTTTCGTTTTCTTTGCTGTAATAATAAAAAAGCAGAACCAAGAAGTATTAAAGTAATATACAATATAAATGAATGTAGTGTTATAAATATTTTATTGCATATTTGAACTCATAGTTAAAATACATTTCTTTAGGGTTTTTAGTAATAAAGAAATAATAAACAATTAAAATAAGCTATAACAATAGTATTGCTCCCACCCAAAAAACTCCATGCATTCTTTACAGGAAATAGACAAAGGGGGAAATACGCTTTTTCAAATTTATTCATGCATAAATTCCTTTAAGTCTTAAACTATATAATATTTATTCTGGAAAAATTTCTATTATAAGAACATTTTCTATGTTAAAGTTCTTTTCATTTACCAATATAAAAAGCTAAACACAAAAACATTCAATTACTCATTAAAAGTATTTTTTCTTCAATAATCAGTAATTATTATATCTTGAATAAAATATTTTTGTTGCCTTTCTTTTCTGGAATTTTCTTTTGGCAATTTCAAAACAAAAATTTTTAGTCACTCCTACTACTATGATAAGCAGTACAAAGTCTCCATCTTTCCATCCACCAACCCACACACTTACTTTAAGTTATCAAGTTTTATCTGAAGTAAATCTGTATAATAGGTGTTATCTTCCAGAGCACCAGAGCTGGCTGAAGGCTTAGATTCCACATTTTCATACAAATTCTAAAAAAAAGCAAAAATTCTTACTAAAAATAACAAATTAAGTTAGTGTACGTTAATGAATAACAGTATCCCTACTTACTGAATACTTTTCATTCGGCAGGCACTATGCTAAGAACTATTCATTTAACTCATCTGCCTTCTGAAATAAGTAAAAGAATTAGTATTCCTCTCTTAAAGATACGAAAACTGACTCAAGACACCACAGAGAAATAAATTGAGAAGAGAGAATCTAAACCCAGATCTGACTCCAAAGCCTATGCTGCTAACCACAGCTATAGCCTATAGTTTCCCTCTCTTGGCTTTTAAAAATGGAATAAATAAATGCTTGCTGAGTTGTATTCTGGCCTTTCTGTTAAAGTCATATATTGGAAAAATATGAAAAAAAGAGATTCTTAAAGTTATTTTGGAGTCCCTCATCTGAGATTCTGATGGAAACTCATTTCTCTGGGGGGAAAAAGGTAAATCTGCTTAAAAACTCGAAAAAAAAATTTCAGAGTGCTAAGCCCACTGGTGTACTACTACATACACCTGCCAACTGATGTACTGTAAACTTAACCAAAATTGCAGCCCTTTAACAGTTTTTATAAGAGAGAAATAAAGTTATGAAACTTAAAATTTTATGACACACTAATGGCTACAATTTAGAATACCTAACAGGTTATAAACATTTACAAAAATTTGTCATTTATAAACTTTAGGTCCCTAGGATGTTAGTGAGAAGGTATTAATGCTTCCTAAGTTAATTTATAAGATTCTAAATTTAATACAATTCTAATAAAAATACCAACAAGCTTTTTTGGTACTAGACAAGATATTCATAGAGAAAAACAAATGCGCAAGAATAGCCAGGAGAACACTGAAAAAGAAAAGCTATAGTGAGGAAATAGCCCTAACAGACAAAACCTTCTCCAAAACCTCAATAATTGAAACAGGGTGGTACTGACACACAGATAAGTAGACCAGTGGAACAGAATAGAAAAACTAGAAATAGACTCAAGCATACATGGAAACTTGATATATGCTAAAGGTGACATCTCAAGTCACTGGGGCCAAGGCTGACTTTTTAACAAAATGTCCAGATGCTGGGACAAACTGCCTGGTTATTTGGAAGAAGATAAAATTAGATTCATACCTCAAATCACCCATAAAGTAAACTGCAACAGGGATTGTGTTCTAAATGAAAAAAAGTGAAACCATACAGGTACTAGTAGAAAATGTGGGTGAATTCTTCTACATATGTACACACAAGCACACAAAAAAATACACATATGAAAACATGTTCAACCTCACTCATAATTAGAGAAATACATATATATACATATACATACATACACACACATAAATATACAAACATGTACTCTTGGTTCTGTCTGCGGAGAAGGTCTAGAAATGATGGCACTGTAGAAGCAATGAACACCCAGTGCCCAGACGCTGGTTTCTCAACACCAGTCTCCACTAAAAGAAACCAGTGCTCCTTGCAGAAATGCTGATTCCAGGGCTGGGGCAGGGAACTAGGAATACTTTGTGGTGCCATAAAGTAAGGAAGTACTCAAAGAATTATGTGCCAGAGAATAAAGGAGTGTCCCTACTGGCCAAATCTGGGACAATGTGAATATCAGAGTAAATAAAGTAATGGCTTATAATGGATAAAATAAGAATCCATGAGGCTATGATGATATAAATAAATGAATGGATAAATGAAGAAGAATGCTCTTTCCCATCCCTTTATTAGAATTTCAACTAATAAATGTAGAAGAAATGACAGAATTATCATTTGGCAATCATCACAGTATTATCTGTTTTAGGCAAGAATCATCACCGGATGTTCAAGTATAAGGAGAAACAGGCATTTATTTAGTCTCAAAGCATCTCCTAAGGTATTCATTGGGAGATGAATTACAAAGGAAAAATTAATTACAAAAGGAAAAATTATAACTTTACAGTGGAGAAATGTGGCGGACAAAACCTTAACCAAGCAATCAAGTTTAGTACTACCTATGTTGACACAAATAGATACCAGGTGTCCCTGAATGTGATGCACTGAGAAGGCTATAATTTCACTCCTGTAGTATTCCTGTCTCAAAGACACAGCTTGAATCTAATCACATCAGAAAAACCCAAAATGAAGGACAATCAAAGTAACTGCCTATGCTGTTCAAAAATGTCAAGGTCATGACAGATAAAGACTAAGGAACTGTTCCAGATTAAGGGAGATTGAAGAGACTTGACAATTAGATATAATATGTGATCCTAGACTGGACCCTAAAACTGAAAGGATTTGTTTTTGTTTTGTTCTTTGTTTTGCTCTAAAGGATATTAGTGGTAATTAATAAAATGTGAAAAGTAGCTTAGCTAATAGTATGATTCAATTTGTATCAATGTTAATTTCCTGATTTTAATTGTTGCAGTGTGATTACATAAGAGAATAGACTTCGATAACATGAGGTATTCATGGGTAAAAGGATGTATGGTTTGCAAGTTACTCTCAGATGTTTAAAAAAAATATACATACAGAGAGAAAAGAGAAAGCAATGAAGCAAATGTGTAAAAACTGACAACTGGATAATCTCGGGGAAGGGTATATAATAAGAATGCTTTTACGACTTTTCTCAAGTCTGCATTTATTTCAAAATAAAACAAACTTAGGAGTTTGCTAAGACTTCTACCATGAATACCAGTTGTCATACGATGTTGGACAATGGGACAAAACTCCATTAAAAAATGGAGGTGGACAGCACTGAAAAATAATTCCTGATAACATGCATCAAGAGGAAGAAATATCATCGACACAATGTTGAGTGGAAAACAGAAACAAAAGTACACACTAAATGATTCCACTTACATGAAGTTCAAGAGTATTTGTATATGTGTTGCGGATACAAAGGATGTGGGGGTACTGAAAGGGGGCTTGACAGAGCCTTTCTGCAGTGCTAGAAATGTTCTCTATCATGATCTGGGAGATAATTACAAGGGGGTACTTACATGTTAAAACTCATTGAGTTGTTTACTGAAGATACGGATGCTTACACACAAAAATCAGACAGTAACAACAAAAATTCAGGAGCTTAGTTTGGATCTACTAAAAGAAGCAACAGTAAAAAATACTGAAAAGCAAAAAGAGTCCAAAAAGAAAAAAAATTTAAATATTGGGTCAATCTACTGAAACTGAATTATATAATAAACTCATTTAAGTTAAAAAAAAATGAAGATATTTTTAACATAAAATACAAACCAAATACAAAACAAAATTTGACTGCGATTTTTAAAAAAGTATAACACATACCTTAAATTTCTCCAGATTTCTAATTTCTCCTAAAAGATGTTTTATTTCACCATTCTTCTGCTCCAACATGGCAAGCAGCCGTTCTTGCTGCTCAAATTCAGTCTGAGACCCTTTCATTTGTAGCAATGTGGCGATTTGTAACTAGAAAAATAAAATTACCCCCTTATAAAATAGAGAGGAAGATGCTGATAACCCTATTTTTGAAGCAATTCAAATTTTGTATTATATTACTCGGAACTCATGTTGGAAAC